AAGACATTTTCTGGGTCCCCCCAAACCACGCCACCAAACTACACCCACATTCATTATGTTGTATTATGATAATTAAAACCAAAACTAAATATATCATGATTAGATATTGCAGTATCATATTTAGATCAATGCTCTCTAGAGTAAACGTCACAACATATATGCTTCTGCAGTGGTATTAAAATATTAGCCAAGTACAATATACATCAATCACTAACAATAACAAAAAAGATAATTTGTCATGTGGGATGTATGCCATTAGTCTGGGGGTGTAGTGTGTAGGTGTGTGCTGGGAATATAGTGTGTCTGTGTGTGTCCTAGTGATGTAGTGTGTGTGTGTGTGTGTGTGCTTGGGATGTAGTGTGCCTGTGTGTGTGTGTGTGCTGGGGATATATTAAGCTGTGTGTGTGCTGTGGATGTAATCAGGACCCGTGCAAGGATTCTTGCCGCCCTAGGCAACAATCCATTTTGCTACCCCCTCAAAAAGGCAACTACATTCTCTCACAGGTTTTAAATTAAAATTGATTGAAGGATCACTATAGGGTCAGGAACACAAACATGTATTCCTGACCCTATAGCGTTAAAACCACCATCTAGACCACCTCATGCCTCCATAAATATAGCAAAATCTTATTGTATTCAAGTCTGAAGCTGTAACTCTGCATGCTGTTTGCCTTAGAAAAACAAGCAGTCTGCTGACATCATCAGAAGTTGTAGCCTGATCCAATCACAGTGCTTCTCCATAGGTCTGGCTGGGGCTGACAAGGAGGCAGATAAGGGGCAGAGCCAGTATGATTCAAACACAGCCCTGACCTATTAGCATCTCCTCATAGAGATGAATTAAATCAATGAATCTATGAAGAAAGTTCAGTGTCTGCATGCAGAGGGAGAAGACACTGAATGTTTGGATGCATGTTAGGCAGCCATGACCCAGGAAGGATCTCTAACAGCCATCTGAGGAGTGGCCAGTGCAGTTATCACTATGCTGTAATGTAAACACTGCATTTTCTCTGAAAAGACAGTGTTTACAGCAAAAAAGCCTGCAGGTTATGATTCTACTCACCAGAACAATTTCAATAAGCTGTAGTTGTTCTGGTCACTATAGTGTCTCTTTAAATTATGAATTGCACACTGTGTAGAAACACTCATCCAGTATAGGCATCCATATACACACACTGCCTAATACATAAAACCACACACACAACGCCTAATACATACATCCATACACTCATACTGCCTAATGCATACATTCATACACTCATACTGCCCAATACATACATTCATACACTCATACTGCCTAATGCATAGATCAATACACACGTACTGCCTAATGCATACATCAATAGACACATATTGCCTGATACATATATACATACACTCTTTTTTCAATGCATTTGGTGGTATTTAATTTGTAATAATATTGGGATTTAATTTATGTTACTGTGAACATTTTTTCGGTTTAATATAGAATAATATAATTTAATATACAAGTAGCTAATTACATGGTCACACACACTAGCACACACACTAGCACACACACTAGCACACACTGTCACTCACACACTGACATAGATACACATTTTCACTAACACACTTTCACTGACATACAGTGTCACTTACACATTCTCACTAACACACACACTCTCACTGACATACAATGTCACTTACACACTCTCAAAAGCATACTGTGTCACATACACACTTTCACTGAAATACACGTCACAGTTACTAACACACATACAGTGTCACTTACACATTCTCTCTCTCTCTCTCACACACACACACACACACTCTCTGTGACATTTACATTGCCACTTCACACTTTCACTAACACACACATACACACACACACAGTCACTCAAGCACAAACTCACAACACTTTACATATAGTCACACTTTATTTACACACACAAACACAGCAATTCAATACACACAGACCAATTTAAAATCATACACTCATGCTCATAATCAGTCCCACTTACCTTCAGATGGATCATTCATAAGTGCTGTGGTCCAACCTGCAGGTAGCTGCTGTCGTTCCTGGTGGGGGGAGCAGGAGAGCAGTGCACTGTGAGCACAGGCTACTTCCTGTTCCCCCTCAGGGAGCCCACACAGAAAGTTATGGCACCTAAGGAAGACAAGTGTCATCTCTTAAACTTCATTGGAAGTAATAATATTACACCAGAGCTGAATTTTATGAGCCAGTTATAAAGACAGGCTCAGAAAAAAATGTGAGTGTGATAACTATAGGATTTCTTCTGATCTTCTGATTTTGTTACCATATATTGCTAAGACTATACTGCCCTATGAAAAATGTTTTGTGTTTTTGCAGTGATATCTACCACAGAATATTGGATATATATATATGTATCCAGAAAACGGGTCTTTGTAAAATAAAATATAACTTTTAATTCATATTCAAAATAAAAAAATGAACATCAACATTTCGGCTCACATCTCCTAGGCCTTCTAGTAAAATCAGATCCAGTGCAATGTTATTCGACTAAACACTGACAGTCAATCCAGGATGCTACAGATGCCTAGGTTGTGTCACCTGTAGCCACATGATCCCTCACAAAACTTTCTCACATCCACAGCGGCAAAATATTTATGATACGACATAGGCTAACATGCACATCTGATTATGTTATCTATACATAACAATGCCCCTGCGGACTTTCCTATATAGAAAAAACTGACTTGCCTTTAAGAGAAAGAATAAGGAATCATCAGTCCAGTATTAGAACAGCTTATCGAGACAACAAAGCCGAACTCCTTGTGACAAAACACTTTTTAACGTTGGGACATCCTTTGACATCACTTAAACTTATGGTGATTAACCACATACCCCCTCTACATCGGGGTGGAGCCCGTAAGAACTTACTCCTACAAAGAGAGACGTTCTGGTTAAGAAGCCTTGATACAGTCTGGCCTAAAGGACTTAATGAGAAAATTTAATTTGCTATGTTCCTCTAAATATATCAGAGTTTTAACACAGTGGGGTCCATAAGACTTAATGTGATATCATTTAATTTGCCATGTCCCTTTAAAGACATAAAAACATAGAAACATAGAATGTGACGGCAGATGAGAACCATTCAGCCCATCTAGTCTGCCCAATTTTCTAAATACTTTCATTAGTCCCTGGCCTTATCTTATAGCTAGGATAGCCTTATGCCTATCCCACGCATGCTTAAACTCCTTTACTGTGTTAACCTCTACCACTTCAGCTGGAAGGCTATTCCATGCATCCACTACCCTCTCAGTAAAGTAATACTTCCTGAAATTATTTTTAAACCTTTGTCCCTCTAATTTAAGACTACGTCCTCTTGTTGTGGTAGTTTTTCTTCTTTTAAATATAGTCTCCTCCTTTACTGTGTTGATTCCCTTTATGTATTTAAGTTTTGAATACATGCAGACATATTCCTTTAAATTTATCAGGTTTTCAAAACTGTGGGGTGTATCAGACTCAATATGAGAATGTATAATTTAATTTGCCATGTCTCTTTGAATACATGCTGATTTCAATATCTATTGCACAGTTGCTTGCTCATTATCACCATATGAATAACTTTTGTATTTGTCTTATGGGGTTTGTAGTTCCATGATTTTGTGCACCTTCTGCAAACCCTTGGTACTCTCTCCCATCTAAGACATTTTTTCTATTCGTTTAAGCTATTTCTTCTATTTGTTTATTGGTACAGATGTATATACACCTTTTTGAGAGTTGAAAGGATAACAGACATCTTTTTCTTTAATTTGTCTGCCTAGTTTTGTTTCTTCTCCTTATTCTGATTCTTTTATTCTAATGATAATTCCTAAGAATGTATCCAATGTAGATTCATTTAGTTGCTAAATGTATAACTGACATAATGTTATCATCTTCCAATATCTATTTGGTTACTATGCTCAGCATGTAAATATGGTTACTGTATTTCTTTTCCAACATGCTCACTACGTTATGGATAGGGCTTAATGTTCCCTTCTCTTATGGGCTTTCTTTTGTACAGTAATACTCCACTCATGGCTATCAATTCTCCCACCCGAGATCATTATCGATCTCGTTACCACTCTCTCTTAGTATGCATACTCTTCACTACTTCAAGACAGAGTCCAGTCTGTTTAAAGTTCTTTCACTTGGTGTGTAATTAATGGTAGGGAGCTCTCCCAGTATACAGCACCTCGGGCTGGCTGAGGATGATTGCCCCTAGAATCCCCTACTGCATCTTTGTGTGCAGCTAGTGGTAGGGAGCTTCCCTAAGATACAGCACTGTGTGCTGGCTGAGGATAATTGCCCTCAGAATCCTCTACCGCATTAGGAGCCGATTAGCAATAGAGCAGTAGGCTGTTGCTTAGCTGGAATGCAATCCACGTGCAATCCATCTGTGTATCAGCTGAATGATCTGTTCTGCTTTCTTCTCGTGCATTTTGGCGGTTTCAGTCCTACACAGACTTGTTGATGGTGAGCACTTTTATGTATATATATATATATATATATATATATTTAGTTTGTTATGTATGTCATGTTATATTTGCAATCCTGAAAAAGGCTCCAGATGTGAGCCGAAACGTTGATGTTAATTTTTTTATTTTGAATATGAATTAAAAGTTGTATTTTATTTTACAAAGACTCTGGAGTGCATTCCGTTTTCTGGATACCTATTATTTCTGCTGGCTCTGCACTGGGTACCACAGTCACTATATACCTGGAGTGCAAGCACCTTGGATTTATCTCTCTCTCTCTATATATATATATATCTTTTATATACACACCTTTTGGGCCACTTATATGCACTACATTTTATATGGTAAAGGGTATGGACCTACAGTATATTCTATACTATTACATGCGCTGTAAACTACTCTCTACTACACAGATATGCACGCTGACACATAGATACACAGAAATACAGATGCCCACACTGACACACACAGACCTATAGGTACACATACACAGATACAGACATACAGATACACAGACAGACACATACACACACACTGACCCACACACAGACATACACACATGCACAGACATACAGATACATAGACTGAGACATACACACACTGACCCACACACAGAGACATACAGATACATAGACTGACACATACACAGATATACATATACACACAGACAAACACTCAGATACACAGACATACAGATACGCACATCGACATACACACATGCACAGACATACAGATACACACATTGACACAAGCATAGATACACACACAGTGATGCACACACACATATACAAACACTACAGACACCCAAAAAAACGCATACACATACCTTTTGGATGGCTACTGCTGGCTGAGGGTATTTTCTCTCGGGGTCCGCCCCGCCCCCATTCGCTTGTGGGAGGTGCTGGTTTGCTACCCCTAACCTACTTAAGGCACTCCCCTTACCTGGCTCCTTACCGTTCGAGGTCAGCGTTGAATGAGGATCCACGTCCGGGTTCTCTCAGACGCCATCTTGGTTTCAGTATCCACAAGGTTTTACCGCGACAGCTGTGTCCAGGAATCCTGTTCAGGCCTTTTCCGCCCTTCAAGCTTCTTCTGACCCCGGGACTCCTAAACCGTAAGTCAGACCTACCTGTCACGCCAGGACCGATTCCCACGGCGTACGGTACAGCACGGGTCCTCGCTTTACGGTTTTCCCTGTTATGTCACAAATGGTACAAGCCGTTCGCGGGTTTCTTTCTTACGGTCATTCGGCTGAGCAGTATATTCGTACAAATAGTCTTTTCGTATATAACTATTCCATGTTTCAATTCGGTTGTTTTGCCGTTCGGCAATTTTCAATACACGTTTCAAATACGCTTGCGGTTCGCATAAGTTCATACGTTTAAACTATTCGTTCCAGCTTCTGTTTTCCTTCACATTGGGTTTCGGTTGTATTTCTATGTATTACGCATAATCCTTTCGTGGATTATATTCACCATTTCATGTGTATACATTCGGTTAACGAATTGCTTGTTTAAATAGACAGATTATTTCTATTACCCTTCAAATGTTTCAGTATTGTATTATGTCCATACAACCAAGCTCACTTATCTGTATAGATCATTTTGACTCCCATGCTTTCAGGGGTCTGCATTACTTATCCATTTATCGACATGGACTCAGCCTACATTACAGGCCTCATTTCTGTGTTATTACTACGACACATACAAGGATACAGTTTCATTTTCAAGCAATACATTCTCGGGTTGAATCACGTACGGATCCAACCAATCATACGTCTTTTTCAATACAGATATATCATATATATATATATATATATATATATACATCACTTTGCATCACTTTAAGCATTTTGTGTATCCCTGACCCTTTCTTATTCTACCACACATCACACATAACACTGTGTAAAATAGGCCATGACCCTCATCCATGTTCATTTCTATTAAACCAGCTACATTTCTGTATGGATCATTGAACTCCCACGCTTACAGGAGTTTTCATAATTATCCATTTCATTTCAATTAACTCAGCCTACGTTACAGGCCTCATTTCTTTGTTATGACCATGGCACATAAGGCTTTAATTCCTTTTCATGCATACTCGGGTTGAATCACACGTACTGATCCAACCAATCATACATTTCCTGCACAGTAATATACATATATATATAACCTACATTTTATGTTTCCCTTACGCACCATTATCATATAACACATGTGTTGGTTGTACATAGGCCACGGCCTCCCTCAGATGTCTTATTTAAGCATGACAAAATTTCTGAGTAACTGATTGTGGCGAAACCAACCTCGCCACGTGTCCTTGGAGGGGGCTACTTGCCCGCCTCTTGCCTTTAGACTATGGCCCCTGTTCCTTTTCCCTGCAGAAAGGCTGGTTTGTGCCTTTCTGCGGACTGTTAAAGCCATGCTACCCCAGATAGCTATGCCATGGAGCCCAGCAGTATACTGAAAGACTGTATGACAGACTTTGGCTCCATGGCGATTGAACTGTATG